TCCCAGTATTGGGTTGTGTCTGGAAGGTAATCTGCTGCATAAAACATGTGCCTGGAATAGTTGGCGATTCATTCCACTGTGGCCACCTTTAAAATGTAGACTAAGCCGGAGGAAAATGAATGGTTGAATGTAATTTCTTACAAACACTGTAAAAGCAATTTATGTATGCAAATAGTATCATCTATGATCACTACATTCGTGATCCATGACTGCTTTTATTATTAAACACATTTCAGGTCAAATCCAACTAAGTAACAAAATATAACACTGGTGAAAAAGTAGCACAGTGTATGCAGTCACAGAAGAATTTAAAAACTAAGATAAAGGGTAGGGTGTGATGCCGTGCCTCTTTTAAAAATCATACATTTTTGTCTGATTGAACTCATGTATATGCAAATTGGCCACTAATAAGACAACGTAAAATAGTTACATTTCCACATGTAATCAGGCTGGAAATAGATGACTATACAATGGTAATTACACACATTAAAGAGCCACTATTATGAGTTTTTGAAAAATAACTTTCCATGCAGTGTGTAACACAGCACTAAGTGAACGAAAACATCCAGCTGAGGTTTAAATCTGAAAGTGCATCGTGTTAAATAGTTAAAACTATTGATTCTTTAATGAAATAGTCAACTCAAAGTAGAATAAATAAATCGTGTTGAGTTTGGATCTTTTGCCTAAAGGTGTGAAGATGGAGATTCGGCTGCAGGGAATAAAGGGTTAAAGTTCATTTTCACAACAATACCACAGTATATCCAACCATGTGCTGTGTTTGTTTCTGTGGTTTTTCTGATTTTTGATACAATAACCTACACTGCAACGCGGGATTCGTCAACCATTTGCTCTTATAAGGAAGGAGCAGCAGAGACTCTTATGTATGGGATTTTATCAGACTTTGACAGTGTTACAACCGGCTCAAAATTGTAACATTAGAGAGACAATACGGACCATGTAAACTGAAAAGAGAAATGATTTATTAACAAAAAGCATAATTAACAAAAGTATGCTTTTGGAGCTCATGATCCAAAACAAACTAAAATAAATCAAAACTGCCAGGCAGAGACGTCCTGCTAGTCGAGCTCCCTCTCAGAAAGAATGTTGGATTCTTTATAGGCACCACATAATGGGTCTCAGGTCCGATGACCCACCCACCAATCTGTAATCATGCTGGCTCTGCAAATCACAAAACACAAACAACAAACAGGTCCCACGTGGGACTTAACAGACAGGGACTTTGTCAGTAACTGTTACAGTTCATACAGACCAGTCTCTTCTTTCTTCGGATCAGAACATGTTTGTGTAGTTAAAATTGTTGCATGATATACAATAGTATTGTATTGTTGTAACATGTAATCACTCTGCGTGGTTTGTAATCACAAATCTATTATAGATCAGTGCTTGTATACTGTGTCTCGGAGGATTCAAATATTGCATCCAAAGTCACATTGAAAATGTGACACATTCTTCTTCCTTAAGTGATTTAAATGTATTTCTGAATTTTTGTCGTTTCTATAGCCACTGCCTCGCATGGTTCAGGATTGGTAGAGCTACGCATCGATGAATTGGCTCTTCAGTGTTTGAACTCTCAGTAATGATTAAATCACACTGAACTGAGCTAAACTGAACTGAACTGAACTTAAACACTAAAATGACCATTTATGTGAAGCTGCTTTGACACAATCTACATTGTAAAAGCGCTATACAAATAAAGCTGAATTGAATTGAATTGAATAGCAACCATAAGCTGTTCCTGCACACGTGTGGTGCAGCCAATTTTCAAAATAAGTAAACTTTTGCCACTGTGTGGATTAATCTTGAATGAGTGTCGTTGTTTTTGCTTGGGGTCAGGGGTTTGGGACCTAACGAATCGCTGAACAAATCATATCGGAGTCAATAGAATAATTAGCTAAAAATAAATGCATATTATAAGACAATGAAAGTGTTTTTGACCTTGCATGCATATCAGCCTGTTGTTAGAGACCTCCCAAACCAAAATATGACCTTTTATAATGCATAATAGGGGCTCTTTAATGCATGATGAAGCCCACCCACACATAGCAAGACAAATGTGTTTAAAATGATTGGTTTGTGTGTGTTGTGTTGCCTTTCTTTCATGTGAACGACATGGCATGTGACCTTGTTGATACAGATTCCTACTTGTTATGAATGCATTCAATTCATTCAATATTCAATTGCTGAACTAGAGTTCATTCTGGCTCCAACCAGAATTTGCATGATGTTTACATGATGTCATTAAAATGTGGGTCATAATTTATGAGCATGAACAATTTTGGGAACTTCATGTCACACTTTTTAATGACAGTTCCTGGTATTTTACTCTCTTATTGTCACTTTTTAACACATTGATTGCATGAACTAAAAAGCATTTTGACTCTTTTCAATCTAACTCTACCTTGTTTTATTTTCAATTGATCACTTTTTAACAGGAAAAAAGTTAACCAAGAGATCCCAAAAAGAAATCCATGTGTTGGAAAACACAATCTGCAAGTATCTTATATCATCTAATCCTGCATTCCTCTTTCTGTCCTCTACTTCTGTCTTTACAGTAGCTTGCAGTTTGCTAAATATTCAGAGGTTTATATGTAGTAAACTCAAGCGCATCTCAAGAATGTTGTTCATTACCACCGAAAAATTTAATTCAAATTTTGATTCAAGTTTGAATCCTCATCTTTGTCGATAACCCAGAAAAAAAACTTGTATTCAGTAATGCACTTACAATGGATGCCTGTGGGGCAAATGTATTGAAAAGCAGACATGTGAAGGTCATGCTTTTCTTGACGCTCTTTAAAAATTCAGTCAACTTTATCTGTTTTAATCACCAAGTGTAAACCTTCTGCATTATGAACTAAATTCCTCAGTTTGATCTACTGTTTGAAAGGAGGATTTTGTGGGCAGTCACATACTGATGTTCTTGCGTATAATTTGTTTGAAAATAGAAATTTAACCATTTCCTCCTGTTACCATTTTTTTCAGAAATGATTGGTTAAAATCAAAGTCTTTTAAATCATTGCAGTTCGAAATGAGAACAACAGAAATCACCTATGAATCACAAGCATTGCATTGTTAGTAAATGAATACTAGGCATAGGATGATAACCATTTTCAAAGTATACCGCAATTTGGAAAATCAAGCTTTTTTTAGTGCAATAGTATCTACAGCAGAAAATATATCCAAAGATGCCGTTTTAAATTGTAAAGAAAAAACGAAGACAGCAGAAGTCAATGATTCAATTGAATTATATAGCCTGACATGGTTACTGCTCCAAAATATTTTAGAAGTTTCTTAAAATAAAATATTTTGTGTTCAAAGGGGAAAAAGTTTTAGTTTTTTACACAGACATTTAAAAATAATATATTTTAGAGCAGTAAACACAACACCATAAAACCGTGAAACCATTTTTATCCAAGGTTATTATACTGTCAGAATCTTTTTCCAGCCCATACCTAATGGATACATCGTACAGTGTCCATTGTACGTAATTACTTTGCAAGTTTTTTTCTTTATTTTTTTTACAACATGATGAATACATTGTTTTTTTTCAGAGTGGTAGACAACATGTAGATTAGCTTGAGATAGAAATTCAGAAACCTTGTCAAAAGATTGACATACAGATTGGTCCTACTTAACTGAACCCACTTAAAGGAACACACTTTTTGGAAATAGCCTCTAAAAAAGTCACCTAAAAAAGAGCTCTATCATTTTTGAGCCAATATCCGGGTCTGGCAGGAGCACTTCTGGCTTAGTTTAGCATAAATCCCTGAATCAGATTAGACCTTTAGCATCTTGAAAAAAAAAAAAAAAAAAAAAAACTAATAATAATTTTAAAAAGATAATATTCCTATTTAAAGCTTGACACTTGTGCAGTTACATCATGCTCAAAGACTGACAAAACAATTGTGATGTATTGTAACAACAAGAGTTCAGCTTTAAATAGGAAAGTTATCTAAACGCTTTTTTAGCAAGATGCTAATGGTCCAATCCATTTTTAATTATTTATGCCAAGCTAAGCTAAAAGCGCTTAGCTCAAATTGTGTGAAACTAAAAGGGTAGAACTCAACAGTTTAACTCCAGGTGACTTGTAAAATTGGCCTATTTCCAAAAAAAAAAGTGGAGTGTTCCTAAAGTAAGACTATTCTTACTTTACATGACAGTTCATTTATTCACTTACCTCAATCATTCCAACCTGTAGGTGTTTCTCCTGTAGAACAGTAAAAAATAAAATAAAATGAAAGAGAGAACTGTTTTGGATTGTACACTGAAAGTAATTGGCTTTAAGGTTGTTTGATCCATTACAAACTTTAAAATATATTTTGTGTTCTACACAGGCTTGGAATGATGAAAATATTCTATTTTGGGGATAAACTTTGACTCTTAATGTTTTAACAATGCCATCAAAAGCTTATTTCAAAATATCAATATTCTAATTTTGAATATTACATGATAAATGTAAATGAAAATACACAATAAAAAATGCAAATAACATAAAATGAGTCAATTTAATAAGGTTAGTATGAACCTGAAAACCATACTACCTCACTCTCTCTTTCTCTCTCTCTCTCTTGTTCATAGTGTGTCCTTCCCCCACCATCTTCATCATCACACACCAACCATTACTCCTTAATCTCTCTTTCTCATTCCTCATTCCTTTATTCCTGTTCCTTTTAGGCCTGCTATATAACCTCTTATGAACTCTATTAGGATTACCCCGCAGCCTTGTATTTCTCCGAAGATGTCTTTTTATGCACATTTATCAATGATGAAATTTCCCAGCAGATGCTACCTTAAGTGACTCAATCTTTCATTGCAATGATTAGACTCCTAGCCACCTTTTTTAAAATCACAGCCATGTCTCAGACAGACATCAAATCGCTAAAGACTAATTCAAAGTCTAGCTTTGGTTTATAGACATTAAAAGTTGTCAAAGGCAACGGCTGCAGGACAGAATGACATAACAAACACTTCTTATCCTAAAGGGAAAACAAGAGGAGCCTTCCTGTTGCCGAAAGGAGCTCGGAATGTGTATCTGAATGAAACGGCTGATTCTAGAAATGTGATGGGTGAGTGGTAGCATGCTTTGCAGAGGACTGGGCATTCATGGAGAAGGCAGCCTTAGTAGTTTTGTGTTCTTGTGTTGTAAACTGACTTAAGGTGCCACCATTCAGTGTCCTTTTTAAATATGACATTACAAAAATTAAGTTTTCTCCAGAGGTTAACTAAAATAGCAGCAACAACAACAAAAAAATGCCTTTCTTAGAGAGTTTGTCTTGTTTCTTGTTCATCAGAAAACTTTAAGAAAACAAAATAATATTGTTTTAAGTTAGACAAAATATATATTATTTTACTTTTTCCACTTCAGGGAGTTTAGCTTGTTTTAAGTAAAAAACTCATTTAATGTTAGCTTTTTAATTTATTTATCTAGAAAAATACAAGAATATTTAGATGCTAGAAACAAGACAAACGCTGTTACTGTAGGTAAAAAAGTGTTCATTTATTTTTCTATCTTTGCACTTTTGTTATTTGACCATCTGAAGAAAAAGACATCTATTCACATAAATGTTAATACATGAAATGAATGGATGAGCAACCTTCTGTCATGTTTTGTTTGTCCCATGTAGGCTTGTTGTGACCCTGCTTGATGAACAGTTGCAATGGTTCTGTTCAAATGCGAAAGCTGTTCAACTGTTCAAACGTGAAAGCTTTAGTGATGTACTAATTTAGATGTGTCTTCTGGTAATGCCCACCTCTGCAAAGATCGACTCGTAGTAGAACTTTTTAACTAACCAATTGCTTCTGCTATCTCTCCCTTTGCCTTTGTTTTCTGCCATTGCAAAGGTTACCTAAAGATGTTTCTCATTCCTCCTGGGGCTAGACATGTGATCATACAAGAGCATGAGGCTTCTCCTCAAATTCTTGGTAAGTGATATCTGCCCTCATGCTAAACAGCAAGATGAAATGCATGCTCATGTATTCTGTGCACAGTCTGGGTAGCTGTGCTTAATGGATCCACATCACTCCAGCACATATCTGTCACACCAGCACAAACGGGAGGAGAAAAAATAAAAGCTTGTGCATTTGGCAGACAGTGCATTAGACAGAATTAGACTCACAGATTTTACAGAAAAGCAGTCCACTACATTTTCCTCATGGCATTGTGAACCCGAGTCTAAAAAAAAAAGAACAATTTGTTTGACACGTGCAGTGAGTTTTTAAAAATAGCATTTGTATATTTTTTTTGTCTTCCACAACTTGAAGTAGCTCAAACGTGACATTAAAAACTAATGTCAGACTTAAGCCTTTTTAAACACATACTTTCCTCCTGAAACGCTAGAAAACAGTGCTAGCAGTCCTAAAGCTGTGGGTTTGATTTCCAGGGAAAACAAAAAGCACTTGCATCTCAAGGCAGTGTAAGCCACCTCTGCCAAATGCAATATATAAAGGATAGTTATTCAATTAATGTTAACCACAGACTTTATTAAGCTCATAAATCAGCAGAGCTATCTAAAAGCCCATTAGAAATCCTGAGACAATCCATGGAGAAATAGCTTTCTGGGTTAACCTGCTAATTGACCTTGTGACTGAACAGCTCTGCTTGTCATTAAAATCTAACGCTACTCCATTGCAGTTATATCAATATCGGAGGCAGTTTTCAATGCTATGCATTGATTCTTAGTCATCCTTTTTTTCTTTTATTTGAGCATTTTTTTTCTGTAACAACATAAAAAAAATGTTCCCAAGATTCACAGTGCCTCCTTTAAATGTACGCAGATCCGCAAGACTAAAGTACATCTCCCTCCCTATTTTTCATTCATTTAGAGTCCATACAGACAGCAATTATCACTTTGTAATGCACATAATTGGACAAATTTCCATTTTATTTCAAGAATATTGGCCTTCTTCAAAGCGCCACTCCATCAGAGCTGAAGTTTTTACCTTCTTATTCTTCGGTAGTTGAACTTTTAATTAAACCTAACCTTACTTTAATTAGCTAGATAAGATGTTAAACGCCTCACTTCTATGCCCCAGTTAACCTTCCAAGAGGTCTTCCAGAGTTAATTCTGTTTCAATAATACTTTCCTTTGAGGAATCTTAATAGCTTATTAATAAAATATTTTAATCCATATATTTAACTTACGTTGCAATAATTATACTCATTTGCATGTCAGAAAGCTGTAGTTTAGCAATTTAGACGGTACTGTACCTTACAGGCCCATATAGCCACAGCATGTTTCTTCCAAAATATTTCAAATGATTATAAATGCATTTTTAAGCTTAAGTTGTGTATATTACATGCCAGTTCCCACCAGTAGCATCCCAACTTTCTTTCTTTCTATCTTTCTTTCTTCCACATTTCTGTCTGATTAGTTAAATCTACTTGTCAGTCATCAAATGTCAGTCACTTCAAAGTTTTTGCATTCCATATAGCAAACAGTATGTGTGTAACATTTGTTTGTAATAAAAAAGACAACTTATAAA